GTAGCAAGAAGTTCATCAGTATTGGTGCCTGAGACAAAAATAGATGATTTAGCAGCATTGATATGTAAGCTAGACATACGTGCAAACCGCTTCATGACCTCCATAACTCCCAATAGAGAATCCGATGTCCCCTTAGAGAATACCAAAATATCATCAGCAAAGCTCAAATGAGTAAGCTTGACGCCCGCACACTGTGGATGGTAATCAAACTCCACTGTCTCAGCCGCTTTATTTAAAAGTTTGGATAGAACATTGTTGAGAATGACGTAAAGATATGGAGATAGAGAGCAGCCCTGACGAATACCTCTGGAACTAGTGAAGAACCCTTCCAAGCTACCATTAACTGACACAGAGAAAGCCGCAGTAGAGTTACAAAGACGAATCCAATGTATAAACTGAAGAGGCAGTCCCATAGCTTGCAAAACCGAGGTTATGAAGGACCACTTGACAGTGTCAAAAGCCTTGGAAATGTCAAACTTTGTAGAGCATTTCGCTGAAGTGAGTTGCTTGTGATACCCAGTGACAAGCTCTGAGGCCAGCAAGACATTCTCTAGCAACAATCGGTCTGTGATGAATGCACACTGATTTGCCTCCACTGCATCAGGGAAAATGACCTTGAGTCTATTGACAAGGACTTTAGAAATTACCTTATATAATAGGTTACAACAAGCAATGGGTCTGTAGTCCTTCATTGTCTGAGCATTAGTCGTCTACGGTATAAGCGAGAGGATAGTTGCATTCACTCCTGTGGGGAGAAAGCCAAAGAGAAAAAAAAGATTGTATAGCCACCGTGAAATCTCCTCCAATAATTGGCCAGGCTGCCACAAAAAACTCTTTCCTGAAGCCATCGGGTCCTGATACCTTGTCATTTGGTAAGGCATGCAGCGCCTGAAATAGCTTCTCGAACTGCTTCCACGAGAGACAAGTCCTTCCTGTAGCGCCTGGACCATCGCCGAATCTGGACCTCCCGTCGCGCCGCCACCGTTAGGGTTTTCGCCGTCTTTGTCGTCGTTTTCTTCCATCTCCGTTTGCCTTAGATTCAAAATGAAAAAAATATATATATATATATATACATAATTTATTATATAAGATACTAGGATAAACCCGTCCTACGGGTGGGAAATAACCAGAAAATAATTTAAGTAATCAAAGTAAATATTTAATATTATTTGTTATTATTTAAATATATACATATTAGTTAAATTTTGTATATGCTATTGTATTGAAGATTAATTAAACCATATTGTCTGAATAATTGGTTATGCTTTTTAAAATAAATACCAATTATTATTTTTAGAATATGATTTTCTAAATAAATTATGTTACTTGAATGATTGATTATGATTTCTTTAAAAAATAAGTACTACTTATTATTTTTTAAAATATGAACTTTTTGGTTAAAAGATTAAAATGTTTTTTTATGTTTAGTAATTGGTGTTTTAATTATAAATTAATAATTAAATGTTGTTACATCATTTTTTTCCCCTGGTTGGATGACAAAAAAAATCAGTGAAATTTTTTTCTTTTTCATTTTGTTAGTAGAAAAGAAACAAACTTGTAAATAGATTCAAATATTTTTATTTGATTTAATTTTATATATTTTAGTGGATTATGTTATATAAATTTTTACTAAATTTAGTTTTACAATAGGTTTTTGTTAGAATTTTTTTTTGAGTTAAAATATATAATTAATTATAAAATTATTTATGTTATTAGATATTTTTGTAAAGTAATAGGAGGTGAAGGAATCTAATCTGATCGTGATAAATTTTGTTTACGCAAGAACGATGCTTTACATAAATGTGATCATTAAGAAGAGGTAACATGAACATGCAACATTGGACCATGCCCATCAGGCCATCAACACCACTTGCGTGTTATGTACTGAAGAGGAGGAGTCTTGTAGCCACCTGTTTTTTGCCTGTCGTGTTTTGGGTGAGTTATGGAAGAAGCTTATTGGAAGACTGTTGGTTGATAACTTCACCACAGATTGGAATGCTCTCAAGCTACTCTTGTCACAACCGAAAGACATCAGCTGTTTGGTCAGATTTGTTAACAAGACAATGAGACTTAAGTTTCTAGTGACTGCTCACTCATGCTTAACCGTATGACTCGGTTAGGATCCTCATTCAAGCAGTTCTTTAACTCTCCTTTGCGGTTCCCAGCGTGAAATCTTTGTATTCAATCGCTACATATTCCTCATTTTCATCTTGAATCCGCTCTTCTGCATCTGCAACTTTCTGTCACAACACAAAACCCTAAGAAACTCTTGACTCATTTAATAAAATACTTATGGTTATTTTAGCTCTATTTTATCATGGGTCAGATTTGAGATTTAAAGAAGCATAAACATTTTTAAGTTAATCTTCATGCAACCTATGTATAATATATCTTAAAAATTTAGAGTTCAAGACGTATGTTTGATATGCCCAAAACTGGCCATGTTCTTACTTTAGCTTTAAGGATTCATTTGTCGCTGCACTTTGAGAGACTTGGGTCTGAAGATATTCTTTTGGTGGGTTTGTTGAGATCAAAATTTTGTTCTTGAGTGCTCTAGAACGCTCTTTATGTTCCTCCAAAAGTCTTACTACCATCTACAAACATTTCCACCATCAACCAAGCTAAGTGTTTCTAACACAAGATTCCATGATTTATCGAATCTTACCTTAGCAACTTTCTTCTGAAGATCTGGAGGCAAATGATCTTCAAGGTAAGTACAACAGGATAATCAGACACCTCAAAGACATTTCCTGTACTACGTTAAGACATTTCTGCAGATCTTCAGTACTTGTTAACGTCCTGAAACCAAACAGCATAACTAATCAGGAGAGAAACTGTTTTATAGACATCTATAAGGACTAAATCAATGAGTTAAGATTCAGACCCGCCATGACGAACTTCAGCTTCGGTTCCAGAAGAGTTAGGCCATAAATCAAGCTCAATGGCACGAACTCCACTTCTCATAGCTCTCACAATAAGCTCGGTGCTGCTTTTACTGTTGAGTTGATTCCCAGTCAAGTAATATGATAAAGGCTTGATTCATATCTTGCCAAAACCTGAAAACCATAATCACATAGAAACAAATTCAAGTAAACCAATAAATAAATTAATAAATAAAGAAAACCATAGTCACATAGAAACATATATATTCAAGTAAACCAAAACGACTTCAAAAAACGTATGATCTTCACCTCGCCTAGAGGAGGCATGGAGGGTTGAAATCGCTGAGGAGATAACAGTAGAATCCTTTGGTGAAAAAGGCCGTGATGTTTGAGCCAGCGGAAAATATCCTTCACGTAGTTTGTATCTACGTGGTTTTTTCCTTGAACTTGGATAAAGAGCCCGAGCATCTCATCTACAGACATCCTGCCATCCCTAGAGTTGTTGCCAAAAACGGTTTTGATTTCTTGAGATGGCTTGCATAATGGTCGCTTGAAACGGTGGAAATATAAATTATTTTGCGACACTTATTTTGATTATCCAATAATAAAATAGATCTAAAAAAATTTCATTAGTTTAAATAAATAACCAAATGTATGTCAATATAAACATCATGAACGTAAAACCTCCCACTAAAATTAAGATCACATTTTAAGATATTTAATGCCTATGGCTGCAGTGCGACTCTCATGCTTAGGCCGTGGAAGAGGCTTTAGTCAATGAATAAGCAACATTTGCATTGATTGAAATTCTGCTATGATACTTTGCTTGGAATTCTTCCAACTCACTGCTCCTCCATCCATACAAAAGATGAAACAAAATTGTGGTCAAAAATCATTTTTGTCCGTTTAAAAATTGGCACTGTTGTGACCACTCACAACAAGCTCATCACTTCCTCTATATACCAAAATTATCAGTAATATTTCTCAAATACTTGAGGATAGTTTTTACTGCTGTCCAATGACTTTCACTGAGATCAAAATGGTATCGGCTCATCATGTTCAAAGCACATCCAACATCTGGACGAGTACAAATCATGGCATACCTGATAGATCTTATAGCCGAAGCATATGGGATTCTACTCATCTGCTATGGCTCATCATGTCTAGAAGGACACTCAATTTTACTGAGAGTTATGCCATAAGACATTGGTAAGAAACCTTTTTGGAATCGTGCATTTTGAAACTATGCAAGATCTTATCAATATACGTATCTTAATGTAATCGAACAACCTTATTTAATCTATATCTATAGATTTTTATTCCAAGAATATGGGCATCTACTCCCATGTCTTTTATTAAGAAACAACCTCATGCGTTTCTCGAACTTCGTCGTTTACTCTCACTATTATTCTTGGAAAAAAATTCTTTTTCTAGAAAATCATAACTACGAACAACAAACACTTTGTTCTCGAAGCCTGTAAAAGTAACAACCATTGGTTTCTTTAGAACAACCAATGAAGTAGCATTCATCAGTTCTGGGTCCAAACTTACCAATAAACATACTTTTGATACATATAATGAATAGTAAAATAAAAAAGTACAGTCCATTGTGGTGGTTCTATATATAGACTCTGAATGGTAATGTACGAGACAACTGCGGTGCGATTCAAATAGTAATAAAAATATATAAATACATAGGTATATATAGAGATTTTTGTTATTATTCACACCGGTACACCGGTGCGAGCCGGTTGGTTACCACCATGATAACAAGTTTGTTCACTTGCATCGTTGCACGTACATATATTGCATATATCTTCGCGAATTTAGACAATCAAGAAACTTGTTCCGACTCAACAAGGAACCATTGACATTATTACCATATATCTTTTTGTTTCCTGGTGACTTTATATAAACTTTGATTCGAAAAGCTCGATCATTTGCAGGTTGGAAAGAGCAAACTAACAAAAGAAATAATTGTAAAACCTCACTGATGACACCAAGTTAAAGCGGTTGAAGCTTCACCATTTTCTTAGCAGTAAACGCCGATAAGATCAAACATCAATGTTATTCCGTTCAAGCCTCAAACCGCCGATACTAATTTTTTTTTTTTTTTTTGCATGTGTACAGAGTATACTAGTTAGACAATGCAGTGAGCACTGTTTTTGTATAATGGAAAAACATAGAAATTAAATAAAAATGTTCTACTATATTAAAGTTTCAACTGAAAGAAGAAAAAGAGACCAAAACTTGATATGATGAAGTTGAGAAAGGAATCAAATCCTTTTGCTCAGCTCAGCTTGGCTTTTACTAACCAACCTTCCTATTTGACACTTGAACACACAAAATTAAGTTCAATGAAAACTCTATTATTATGTAATGTTAATCAAAGCTCGTCGTGGCCCTCTTCTTCTTTGGCTGCATCTTCAGATTCCGAAGAATTGGTGGAATCTTCTGAGCCGTTTGATTTTTCCTCGTCCTTCGTTGCATTCTCCTTCTTGGTTGCTTTCTCTATCTTTGGCTTTGGCTTTGGAATCCTATTCACCTTCGTCACCTATATTTATTTTTATTTTAACCCCCAGATTAAATGAAAATCCATTTTTGCGACTTTAGTTATTTATCTATCTGATTCCGTGTACCTTGTCTTGCAGAGTAAATACTTTGGCGTACACTTCATCTGACGTGAACACTGGCTTGCTCCACATAGCAGTCCTGTGACAAAGTTTTGTCATGTTAACTCTCTCTTTAATTTTAAAAGATTTTCAAAGACTTTAAATGGTAAATGAAGCAACGCTTACTTTTTCTGCTCAGCTTCATTCTTCTCCAACCAGCTTTTTACTTTCTCTGCTTCCTTTGAGACCTGAATAAAGCAACACAAATCAGCAGAGCTCGCCAATAATTGTTAAATAGAGCTTTGTGTTTCACTAGATGAGCAAAACAACCTCGTTGATTTTTTCTTTTGGAAGCCAAGTTTTGTTCGTTTCCCACTCTTTTATGATCTGCAAACGTGGTTGAAACTCAACCGTGTTAGCTCTATCACGAGAAAACTGCAAAAACATGTAATGCAGACACAGCGTACCTCCTTCACTTCGGTTAGGTATTTTTGAGCGTATTCAACTGCTACGGGTCGTGCTGTAAGCTCATCCGATCTGGTTCAGATATATAGCAAATGTTTTATTAGAATACCTGTCTACTAAGCACGCTCCGGCTCAATCAAAATGAACAGAGAACAAACCGCAACGATATGGGACTGCCAATGGCTTTTAGTGAGTCAAGCCGCTCCTGAAACTCAGTGGCATTAGCATCCTCACCGTCCATGTAAAGCCAGTCTTGCACCTGAAAGAACACAAGACCCCACTCAGTGTCAAACGCTTGCACTCGGCATTGGAACCCAATCTTATATATAGTTCAAAAGACAAATGATACTTGCCTCATCAAGCTTCTCAACAAACGCCTTGCGCTCTTCTTGGGTGGAAATCTTTTCAAACTCGGGTGTTTCTAGCTGTTCAAGGACCAAAATAAAAACTAAAGCGTTGAGTTTTGGGAAGAAGCCAGCTAAAAACAATAAAGTATAGAGAAAACGAAGACCATATAGAAAGAGAAGAAACATGAAGCAACGGAGATAGTGATCTATATATAAAGCACACACACACACACCTTCTCTTTGGTGGCATATATATAAGATTCGAGGTTGTTTTTTAGCTCAGCCGTTCTTCTTCTTTCCCTATCTTTCTTGTCTAAGGCTTCTAATTTTGTCTTAGCTTCAGCAAGTGACTCTTTCGTAAAAGGTGCCCCAGCTCCAACAGTTTTCTCAACTACCTACAAGTCATATATTCGAAAATAATTTGTTTGTGGTGATGATACTAATTAAGAAAATCTTGGAAACAGTAAGCCACAATACACACCTTCAGAGGAATCCTAAATGTCCGCTTTTTCAGCTTTTTTTCTGTCCCCAGGTCTACCACAGCTGGTTCTTCAGCAGTGCTGTTTCCAGCATCAGCTTGTACCTCCTCTTTATTTTCTTGTGAATTTTCGTCAGAGGCAGCTCCAGTAGAGGTATTGCCTGTTGTTGATGTTGTGTTACTATCAATAGTCACGTTCTTCTTAGGAACTTCAACCCATTCTGTGATTTCAATTACAGCGTCTCCCCGATCTAGACTGAGAATCCCACTTCTACTTAGAGAGAAATGCAGATTTGCCTTGATAGGTGCTGATAGATTCCGGGAAGAATATCTGTCCAGATCCAAAAGTTTTATTTATTGGAAAACCGTTGTTCTCTATAAACGGAAAACAACAATAAAAATGCAAACTGTAAGCTCTTACTTCTCAGTTGCATCCGTCAAACCAGAAACAGAATACTGGGCAAACACAGGGGAGGTAATTCCTGGGGGTAGGATATCCTCGGACTCATAAGCAAGTGACACGTCAAAATCTTTGTCAAGGACAAAGGTTCTGAACATCTGCGAGAGAATCAGGTACAGATAATTATTACAAGATAGACAACACATTGCTAAGCTTCATGAGGATGTGAATGTAAAGCTGTACCTTGCTGGGTAGCTTTTTCATTCGTGGTACGAGTTGTTGCTTTGTACTCTCATCTTTCTTCACGTTAGGGCCTTCCAACTCAACTAGAAATCCATAGGGAGAACCATCAACTATACCCAGCCTACGTTTTAATTTGATTCCATCGCTCAAGTTAGCAGCATGTAGCGCTGAGCCGAGGACAATAGCCTCATCAGCATCCAGATGTTTGTCTAACTCTTGCTTCCCAATAAATTCCTGGATCGTGCTCTGTAATTATATAAAAAGGGGGAAAAGTCAGATCAAAAGCATTTCGGATGAAGTCCAAATGATAAGCTTCAAGAAGATGAATATTTACCTGTAGTTTGGGGACTCTAGTAGCTCCTCCTATTAGCTCAACTGCATATATATCATCCATTTTCAGACCTGAGTGCTTGAGCACATCTTTTAAAGGTGTAAGAGATCTTTCCCAAAGATCTTTACAGAGTTCCTCAAATTTCTCACGGGAAATTGTGCTCCTGAAAGAAAACGTTAGTTAGAATTCCACGCGCATCACAATGTCCGATACGCTGGCAAAATACGGAAACATTGACTTTAGTTGTACCTGAAGTCACGATCATCATGGAGAGATTCAACAGATATTGGAGCCCCAGTGTTTGCACTCAAAATTTCTTTTGTACGTTTGACTTGTTTCTTTAATTTAGCCATTGCTTTAGGGAACTTCCTCACATCATCTCCATTACCGAGCTGCTTATTAAACTCATCTGCAAAGTACTCTACCAAGCGCATCTCCATACTCTGTCCTCCAAGTCCCGAGTCCCATCTAACATCCTTGACCTACATTTACGTAAATAGATATGACTAGAATGAAAGAACTAATATGAGTAGGCGGAGCTCATGTCAAACATAAGCCTACAAAAAAAAAACTGAAGAAACCACAAAAATATAGTATTAAGAGCATATTTTACCTGAAATTGGTTGACAGAAACAGTCTTGCCAAACTCCTTCTCATTGTAAGCAGAATAATAGACAAGGGCTGCATAAGTACTACTCGAACCCATGTCATAAAATATAACATGTCTCGACCCATTAGAGAAATCCTTATCAATCCCATACTGCAAAGCTGCACCGGAATGCTCATGAACCAAGGAAAGAACATTAACCCCAGCCAACTGAGAAGCCTGGATCAAACCCCGCCTCTCAGCCTGCCCAAAGTAAGGTGGAACCGAAACAACCATATCCTTCACGGGGATCTTCGCATGGAACTCAGCCAGGTCAGAACCATAACCCAAGATCATAGCTAACAACTCCTCCACCGAGTAAACAGTCGTACCATCATCGATCTTAATACCAACCGCACCTCTCGAATCTTCAACGATATCAAAGGGCAAGTAGAAAGAGTCAATAAAATGCTTGACATGCTTAAAAGGCTTCCCAACCATGTCCCTGAGCTGTGAATAAACTTTATTAGGGTAACGAGCCGTGATTCCTGCAGCTTCCTCGCCTAGTAACCTGTCACCGGAGTGGAACGCCACTAAGCTTGGAGATTTCCTCTTGGACATCTCGTTAATGGCTACAGAGATTGGACTCTGCCCTCGTTTGATGTTAACTACGGCGACTTTGACCCATTCTGAACCTAGATCTACGCTTGCAACAGCTGATTCCGATGGAACATAGAGTAAAGAAAGCAATGACAAGAGCAACACTAACACGGTACACATCTTCTTCCTCATTTTTTTCCTATCGTTAACTAAAACACCGAGATTAGAGCCGCACTTCCTCTGCAGGAAATCAAAAAAACGAGTCAAGAACCCTAAACAACATAATAAGACATGCGATTCGATTTCAAACTCCAAATCGATCATGGCCGATATGATACATGATTAATCAGCTCTAGAATTAGGCTAAGTACCACCAACACGGAGTAAAACTAATCAAATCTAAAACGTAACGTTACAATTAAGCAATGTTCTCAAAAAACAAAAAGGAACATTCGAATGCACAAAGAGAGATACCAATTGGGGAAGGTAAGCTAAATCTAAGATAGTTTTTCTGAAGAGGGCATTGGTGATTTGAGAGTGTGGAGGCGAAGATACATACCAGTTTCCGAGCTCCGATCGCATTCTACGGCGGAGATCGAGTTTGCAGATTCAAAAGTTTTCTCGAGAATACTAAAGTTAATTAACGGAGACGAGAGTGCGTATTATATTAACGGCGAAGAGAGTTAGCAAAGGTGTTTGTAGCAACACAATGCTGACGTGGAACTGAGATTCTGAAATAACGCCAATGGTTGTATTCCACGTGTGTATATTTACACGTGTTCGGATGTGAGACGCTTAGTGTGTTGGTGATTACGCTTTGTTGTAGAGTAGTAGGCCTAGAAGTTTGGAGTGTTGTTTGGTTTAAATCCAGGTGTAACCCTCTGTTCTAAGAAGAGGGTTTAACCTAAACTCTGGGCCGTTGTTGGTTGATTTTGAAGTGTGTACTTCACGTTGGATTGGGAACATTGACACATTTGACTGTGATTCCAATAATCTTACATAAAAATTGCGCAATCTTGAGACTGGACCATAATTAAACAAACAATCAAACTTGAATTGATATAGATCCAGATATTTCTTTTTCCTTTTTTTTTTGATTTAAAAACGAAATACAAACAAAAAATGTAATCAGGGAAAATTGATTTTACACTTCAGGAGATCTAGGGAATACATAAAAACAACCGGTTTAAGACAAGAAACACTAGATATGAGCTAATAATATAAGACACTAGTTTGAGAGGTGTTTCAAACTGAGAAACAAACAAAAAGAGAGAGGTGGCTGTTATGTATGCCTATTCGATAGAAGTATCTATAAACACTTGAAGCAACAAGCAGCTACATGGGAAGTTCCTATATCTCTCTCATCTACATATGTTGTTGATCAATCTCCTTACAACAGCTGAAACAACATTAGCACTTCTTACTAAATCATGTACTATTGTATGTATCATTCTCCTTCAAAGTTTGGACTATAACCTACCTGGTTAGAGTAAAATCCAGCGACCTTGCACTAATGATGCAACAAACCCAATTACTAATCAGGGAAAACTTCGTCGTGCTCAATGTCTGCAGAAGACAAATGACCATGTGCAGGTCTGGTGTTGTTGTGGACCTCTTCTTGTGTGTCTTCTTCTTCATCATCCGTTAAGGTTTTGTCATAAGAGAAGGGTCTCTGACAAATGCAAGCTTGCGGGTACTCGTGGAACTCACCGCGTCCTGGCTTGAACTCATCCGGATCACCCATGAATCCTCGCTGACAAGATTTCACTTTCTTGGCGAAAGTGTGCCACTCCATCTTTTCTCGCCCCATGAACAACGCACTGAGCTTCTTTGCATTTGGCCTTATGGTCCTCTTATGCCCCATGTACCTCCTGTAATCAAGTGATGATTATTATGTCTGATGGGTCAAGTGTCTAATGGAAACAAGTAGAGAGGTTTGTTTACCTTCGGCCTGCAAGAATCTTGGCCATATTTCCATTATTATTAGTGATAAAGACGTCACTTTCGTCGCTGACTATGTAGTCAATGGCGGCAAGGCGTGAAGAAAAAGGAAGCAAAGGCTTGAGCTCATCACTGGCAAACATTTCCTTGGTGTAAAAGTTCGGAAACAGCTCTCTGAGTGGTCTCAGAGTCTTTTCACCACCATATATTTCTCCAGACGCAACATAGATGTATGTGCTATTAGCAAAACCAAGAGCTCGCAGCATTAAGCCCACTTCATGAGGGGTAAGAGGGCATTTCCCACGCTTTCTTTCCTCCAGAGGGTCCAGATCCTGCAGTGATTGCAACTCCAAACAACTTAAGCACAATAAAAAGGATTTGGGTGTAATGCTCTTATACTATGATGATAACACAAAATGTAACAAATCAAGGGACTCACAGGCAAAGTGTCCCATCGTTTTCTTATTTTTGCCAGCTCAGCTCGCTCTTTTCCACCTCCGCCAAAGTCACAACCAGAAAAGGCTAGCATGTCTGGTTCAAACCTGTATTTTACGTATGTATGGTTATGTACATAACATGAAGATGTAGACGTCATGCTTAAATCACATGAAGGAAAGGCTATTAAAGAAGAAATCAGAGAAACAAGACTAAATATTTATAAATGGGCGAACCTTAAGTGGACAGCTAACGTTTGGCCATCTTTCTCATCCTCTTGACCACTTTCATTCCAACTGATTGTATGCGCTTTGTGAATCTTAAAGAATCATAGTTGACCCTGCACCGCAGCTTTTGCATGTCTTCGTCCAGATCATTTGCTAGTCTGTAGTCAAACTTTGTCAATTGCAAAACCTGCAAATTAAAAGAACCATGAACACGCTCCCACCATACAAAACTGAAACAGAGCCATAGAACTCTAGATATAGGCATCAGATGATAATAGTAATACATATTGTTCTATTCAAATGAAGTAACAAAAAAAAAACAATTTGATTCTTAGGTGAAAGAGTCTTACATGTCTCCTGGAGAGAATTGGCAGTACTTGGTCGAGATAATACTCGGGAGTAGATTTTCGAGGAACACGCATGGTATAAGGAGGCTTTTCCATGGACCGCATGACTCTGTCAGGAACTCTCTTTACTATGGTCACATCTTTTGTAAGGGAAGAGATGAACCAGTTCACGTCAAAAAGGTCATTAAAGTCACTACACAGAAAACAAAACAAAAAGTCAGATGATGCATTCACATAGAAAAGTGATAAAGGCAAGATATACATTTGGCAAAACTTGCTAAAGTTACCTGTCGTCTTTCCAATAAGAATGGTGATCCAACTCAGGTACAACTAAAGTAGCATTCAGAATCCGTGCAACAACTACTGCATCTGTTATCTGCTCATAAAAAAAGAAAAAAACATTTAGTTTCAAAACAAATGACAATGAGCAAAAAAACTATGTATACTCAATTGGGCATATCCTGATCTTGAGACAATAACATCACTTACTCCTGTTCTTTGCTGGTTCAGACCTCCACTAGCCGCAATCAGCAAATAACCATTAGACGAATGCTCCTGGACAGCAGCTAAATGCCCAAAACAAGATGAGGAAACAAACTATTGAAAGCCTGATGTACTTTTACATCAACAGATTCCTAAATTAGTATTGTCAGGAGGCAAATTGTGATTTTAACAAAACTAGAAAAAAAAAAAAAAAAAAAAAAAGGTAGAGCCAAATTTGCTAGCAGATCACTAAACTCACAGACTTTCTCTACTAGAAACCAAAAGATCAACTAGGAAAGAACTAAAGTTTCACTTCCTGAGACTTACGTGGGAAGTTCCTTCTTCTTTCACTGCATCCATAAAAGAACTTCGAATATTTCGACTTCCATACATTAATCGGCTCCCTACGACTCACATCCTGATAATATCCCATTTCAAAAACTCGGTTAGACTAAATCAAACAGTGAATGGTCTCAGTGTAAGTAAACTGAAGATGCAATTTTAGAAAGGGTACCAACCAGTAAGCTCTTTTTGCTTAGTTGCTGAGAATACCACTCGAGGTGGGAGACAACATGACCGGTGAAGAGTGAGATGACACCTAAGGTGAAAAGCATGAACCCACAAACCCATGTCCACATCACCGTTCTCTTGGGCTGACCCGAGAAAGATCTCCACCTCCATAACCCGCTCTTGTTTCCGCCGCCGTAGTTCGTCGTCAACAGCCTAACGCTCGACCTCCACACCTGAGCTACCAATTTCATCACTCGTTTTTACGGAAATGTCATCTCCCCTCCCCCCCTCCGACACCGCGAAGACTCGGGGAGCCACCGGAATCTGATACAAACCGGAAAAAAAAAGAATCGCCGGGAGAAGGTTACTGATAGGAGGTTTAACAGATCGGAGGATTAGGGTTTTCAGGAAGGCAGCGAAGGTTATGTAAGGAATTCTTTCTCTGTCTATAAAAGTTTGAGATTTTTCGAAATGGTGAAGACAGACGAGAAGAGACAGTACATGCGTAGGCTTTTTGTTCTGTTTTTTTTTTTTTGCTTTTGCTTTTGCTTTTGCTTTTGCTAATTATTCATCTGAATTTATTTATTAAATTAGTTAAGAACACAATTCACGATAACCAAATAAAATCGACCCGGGATTAGTTTAAACCTAGCGCGTTCGGTTACCTATTTAGATTTGGTTTGGGTTTATTCGGTTTTTAAATTTTTGAGGTTTAAGATTTCAACTTTATTCTGATATTTATAAATTTGGTTTAGTTTATATCTTTACGGATTTGATTTGGGTTCGGATAACTAACTTAAATTATTTTTAAGACTTTAAAATTTATATATAGTGTAAATTTCTTAAATCATTAAATAAAAATAATATACAATATATAAATTTTAGTAATATATACCAAAATATCTAAATTGAAGTATTTTTAATGTTTTAAATATTTGTTTAAGTATTTCAGATATTTACTTTTGACTATGTGTACATATTTTCAAATATTTTGGACAGCTTCAAAATTCTTATACATTTTAGATATTAACTTTAAAAGTAGCTAATATATTCTGGTATATAAATATAATTCAGATATATTAGGATGTCCGAAATATATCGGTTTGGATTGAATTTGGGTACGATTCTTTTATCAAAATTTTGAACTTATTTAGATATTTAACAAGTTTTAGTTCAAAATCGATACAACTTTTTGGATTGAGTCGGGTTCGATTTTTTTGGTTTAGATTTTTTGTCCAATTATATTTAAACCTTTAGATAGTAAACATGCTCTACGCCACGTAGCACTGAGTAATACTTGCTTTTAAAGGACGAAACAAAAACTTGCATTGTAAGCCTCTGCTCTTACAGAAAAGCAAGTCTTACTCTTGCTTGGAAACAGAAATTAAAAATACTTCCATCAAAAGTTTAGATGGGGTTTGCATTTTTTCAAAAAAAAAAAAACTAAAAATAATGAATAGTATTGAACATGTCCCTTGCAAACTCCTCGTAGTGAATCCAGTTCATTACTATAACGTAGATCCCACGAACATGACAACCCGCCATTGATCTAATTATTAATTTGTTTTTTTATTTAAGGGAAATTAGGTGAGATAGCCATGAAAAAAGATTAAATTTAGTAACTAGCTAAAATCTCCCCTTCTCTCTTCATTTCTCTCTATACTCTCTCACTAAGAGCATCTCCAAAAGACACTCTATAACTTCAAATATGAAGTTTTTGTCTCTCCAAAAAGGAACTCTAAAACTTCAAATTTGAAGTTTTGAGTAGTGAAACTTCAAATATAGAGTGTCACTATTCAAAACTTCAAATTTGAAGTTTCATATTTTATTTACACTTTGGTCCTTACAATTACACATCATATTTATAATAATCTTAAATATTTATTATTTAGCATTTTAATCTTTAAAATTATTATTTCATAAATAGTTCAAAATTATTTTTATAAATTTAAATTTTCTATTTTTAAAAAAAAGCATCAAGATAATCTTTAAAATATTTTAAAACTAGAAGTAGACAACAACAATATTACGTGATATAATGTGGTATTTTGTTTGTACTTTAATATTTAATTATATATTTCTATTTATAGTTTTATATTTTAGTGTAACATTTTATCAAATGATATTTCTATAATATTTTTATACATGATAGTTATTTATA